GTTTTTTAGCTAGTAGAAGAAAATTTTAATATTAAATATTAAATCACATAGAAGAGTTTCATTTTTTTTCCCCCCTTGTTTACAACTTTGTTTGTTTACTTTGTTTGTTTACTTTGCAGCCAAGACGAACAAGGAGGGCAAACAAGAGACTTGTAAATCCATACAGAAAGTTGAGTGGAAGTGTAGCAAGACTGGGTAAGATTGATACCTGTACTGTTCCTGTTGTCTGATACATTTACTCTCCCTTTTGTGACTGATACATGTACTGTTCCTGTTGTCTGATACATTTACTCTCCCTTTTGTGACTGATACCTGTTGTGTCTGACTAATACTTGTATTGTTCATGTTGTGTCTGATACCTGTACTGTTCCTGTTCTGTGAAAGTGCAGCAAGACTCTGTAAGACTGATACATGTACTGTTCCTGTTGTGTCTGATAAATTTAGTTGTCCCTGGTGTGACTGATACATGTAGTATTCCTGTTGTGTCTGATACCTGTACTCTTCCTGTTGTCTGATACCTGTACTCTTCCTGTTGTGTCTGATACCTGTACTCTTCCTGTTGTGTCTGATACCTGTACTCTTCCTGTTGTGTCTGATACCTGTACTCTTCCTGTTGTGTCTGATACCTGTACTCTTCCTGTTGTGTCTGATACCTGTACTCTTCCTGTTGTGTCTGATACCTGTACTCTTCCTGTTGTGTCTGATACCTGTACTCTTCCTGTTGTCTGATACCTGTACTCTTCCTGTTGTGTCTGATACCTGTACTCTTCCTGTTGTGTCTGATACCTGTACTCTTCCTGTTGTCTGATACCTGTACTCTTCCTGTGTGTCGATACCTGTACTCTTCCTGTTGTGTCTGATACCTGTACTCTTCCTGTTGTGTCTGATACCTGTACTCTTCCTGTTGTGTCTGATACCTGTACTCTTCCTGTTGTGTCTGATACCTGTACTCTTCTGTTGTGTCTGATACCTGTACTCTTCCTGTTGTGTCTGATACCTGTACTCTTCCTGTTGTGTCTGATACCTGTACTCTTCCTGTTGTGTCTGATACCTGTACTCTTCCTGTTGTCTGATACCTGTACTCTTCCTGTTGTGTCTGACTGATACCTCTACTGTTCTTTTTGTATCTGATACATGTACTGTTCCTGTTGTCTGATACATGTACTGTTGCTGTTGTCTGATACATGTACTGTTGCTGTTGTCTGATACCTGTGCTATTCCTGTTGTGTCTGATACCTGTACTGTTGCTGTTGTGTCTGATACCTGTGATATTCCTGTTGTGTCTGATACCTGTACTGTTGCTGTTGTGTCTGATACCTGTGCTATTCCTGTTGTGTCTGATACCTGTACTGTTGCTGTTGTCTGACTGATACACAGTAGTTTACACAACAGTGGTCCTCCCATATAACAGAACTCCCATATAATGGACATCCCATATAACAGACCTTTCCCATATAGCAGACATCCCATATAACAGACCTCCCATATAATGGAAACCTTCCTATATAGACCCCAGGCTGTCTTAAACAATGCTCTGGACAGACACCTTAAGTCAGTACCTGACCTGCCAGGCTGTGGTTCCTACATTGGTTGGTTGCTGCAGACAGCAGTCACAGCCTAGTTTATTAGACCCTGATCCACCACAGAATGTTACAGTACTGGAGGTGGGAAGTACAGTACCTGTACTCTGAAGGATGAGTGAGAATGTTACAGTACTGGAGGTGGGAAGTACAGTACCTGTACTCTGAAGGATGAGTGAGAATGTTACAGTACTGGAGGTGAGAAGTACAGTACCTGTACTCTGAAGGATGAGTGAGAATGTTACAGTACTGGAGGTGGGAAGTACAGTGCCTGTACTCTGAAGGATGAGTGAGGATGTTACAGTACTGCAGGTGGGAAGTACAGTACCTGTACTCTGAAGGATGAGTGAGAATGTTACAGTACTGGAGGTGGGAAGTACAGTGCCTGTACTCTGAAGGATGAGTGAGAATGTTACAGTACTGCAGGTGGGAAGTACAGTACCTGTACTCTGAAGGATGAGTGAGAATGTTACAGTACTGGAGGTGGGAAGTACAGTGCCTTGTACTCTGAAGGATGAGTGAGAAGTTACAGTACTGGAGGTGGGAAGTACAGTACCTGTACTCTGAAGATGAGTGAGAATGTTACAGTACTGGAGGTGGGAAGTACAGTACCTGTACTCTGAAGGATGAGTGAGAATGTTACAGTACTGGAGGTGGGAAGTACAGTACCTGCACTCTGAAGGATGGGTGAGAATGTTACAGTACTGGAGGTGAGAAGTACAGTACCTGTACTCTGAAGGATGAGTGAGAATGTTACAGTACTGGAGGTGGGAAGTACAGTACCTGTACTCTGAAGGATGGGTGGGGATGTTACAGTACTGGAGGTGAGAAGTACAGTACCTGTACTCTGAAGGATGAGTGAGAATGTTACAGTACTGGAGGTGGGAAGTACAGTACCTGTACTCTGAAGGATGAGTGAGAATGTTACAGACTGGAGGTGAGAAGTACAGTACTGTACTCTGAAGGATGAGTGAGAATGTTACAGTACTGGAGGTGGGAAGTACAGTACCTGTACTCTGAAGGATGAGTGAGAATGTTACAGTACTGGAGGTGGGAAGTACAGTACCTGTACTCTGAAGGATGGGTGAGAATGTTACAGTACTGGAGGTGGGAAGTACAGTACCTGTACTCTGAAGGATGAGTGAGAATGTTACAGTACTGGAGGTGGGAAGTACAGTACCTGTACTCTGAAGGATGAGTGAGAATGTTACAGTACTGGAGGTGGGAAGTACAGTACCTGTACTCTGAAGGATGAGTGAGAATGTTACAGTACTGGAGGGGGAAGTACAGTACCTGTACTCTGAAGGATGGGTGAGAATGTTACAGTACTGCAGGTGGGAAGTACAGTACCTGTACTCTGAAGGATGAGTGAGAATGTTACAGTACTGGAGGTGGGAAGTACAGTACCTGTACTCTGAAGGATGAGTGAGAATGTTACAGTACTGGAGGTGGGAAGTACAGTACCTGTACTCTGAAGGATGAGTGAGAATGTTACAGTACTGGAGGTGGGAAGTACAGTACCTGTACTCTGAAGGATGGGTAAGGATGTTACAGTCAGATGGCACTCGGATTTTGACAACACCGTACTTACAAAACAGCAATTGCTAGGATGATGGTGAATGTGTTTCCTTCTCTTGGTGACTCAACCATGGTGGGGGAGAGGCAGTGTAGCAGCATTGCCGTAATCTTGACAACAAGAGGAAATTGCAAGCATATTGCAGACTTCTTAACCAGGTTAATCTGACATCAAAGGGACGACCTTCGTCTGATCTGCAATATTGCTCGCTGAAGCCTTATTGCAGGTGCAACATGCCTCTTCTTTTGCCAGATATTCGGTTCGATATTTTTTTTAACTATGGTTGTGTCGTGCCACGGCTGGGGGATACTTAGAAGAAAGATTTTCACCATTGTTCATTTAGTGGTTGTGTTTTCAGAAGTGTGTTGATGTATTAGATTATCCTTAGACTGTAACATCCTCTGCAGGCACTGTACTTCCCACCCTCCAGGACTCAAGTCTAGCTTCCATGAATCCCTTTATTGCTCACAGTCCAACGGCACATACAATGTGAACCTCTTTTCTCCTACCTAACATGGACTGGTAGGTCTCCTGCAATGATGAGTATGAGTTGAACCTGCCTAGCATGGAACTGTAAATCTACTGCAATGTTGTGAGTAAGTTAAACCTACCTAGCATGGGCCAGTAGATATACTGTTTTCATCTTCTCATTAAAGTCACATTAACCTTTATTTAGGCTTGTAGTCGATTAGTTAATTTTGTGTTCCGTGTTGTCACATAAATTTTTGTTTAGGGTTGCCATCTATTAGTGAGTTTTATGTGGCACGTCACCGACATAACCTTCACCTGATTTGACTTCATCTCAACTTCCACAGAGAATCTTTTGTGATATTCTCCGGCGGACTGACCAACGACAGGGCAGGAAGAACGCCAAGCATAACAGTGATCCAGGGCAAGACCACTACTGTCCTGGAGATGGAGCACAATGTCGTCGACTTCACTACTCTCTGTGAGACTCCGTACGCCAGTGGTATGTTACGCCAGCCACTCATTTTGCCTCAAACCCTTTTATTCGATGGATTTTAAAATATGAAATTCAAGTGGTGCTCAACTTATAATGGGTTTACGTTGCGATGAACCCGTCGTAAGTTGAAAAAATGATATTCTAAACGAGTAAATAAATAACTATTGTCACTGAGTAAGTAAATACAGCCTCTCCCCACTTAGCGACGTACTCGTTTATTGATGGACTGAACACATCGACTCCAGGTTGAGGGACTGATTACCTCATTCTCCTCCTCTCCTTACGCCTTCCTCTTTGTATTGGACTGATGAAGCGACTGTGTGGCGAAACGTTTCCTGAATAAAGATTCCCATATGCTGCATAAGTGTCTCAATCTTCAACTTGTCGGTTTTTCAAACCATTCATCACAAACCATTCATCACAAACCATTCATCACACTCGAACTTAGTATGCTTACTTAAATAATATATATTAGAGCTGATTTCCTCTATTCTGTTTATTACAGTATACAGTAGTACTGTATATACATTTAAAAATATACCATAAATGTTATAAATTGTGCGAAGGTGACATTAAAACAATATCAAAGTTGGTTGACGCAAACTCACTACCATTATAGTTTGCTCCTCACTTAGCGACGAATTCGTTTACCGACGTGGTCTTAGGAATGTAACTCTGTCGTTAAGTGAGGAGAGGCTGTACAATAATTACAGTAACTAACTAAATATAAATACACCTACCACTCGACTTACGACCTGCTCGACTTACGACCGTGTTTTTTATGCCAAATTTCTGGGAAATAAACCAGTATTTGTGTTGTAGACAGTGTTTATCCTAAACCTTACAGTATAAAACACAGTACTAACAACATAAAAAGTAAAGTAAAACATGAAATACCAAAATAAAACAATAAAATAAAGTCATTACAAAAATGTTTTGTTGATATTCAGTAGTAAAGTTCGACTTACGACCATTTTGACTTACGACCGGTTTCTCGGAACCGAACTCGGTTGTAAGTCGGATGGTAGGTGTATATCATTACTGTGCATAATATCAATATATCATTATTGTGCATAATATCAGGAAGGATATAGGAAAGTACTGGTTTGGTAATAGAGTTGGGGATGAGTGGAACAAACTCCCAGTACCGTCATAGAAGCTAAGACGTTGTGTAGTTTTAAAAATAGGCTGGATAAATACACGAGTGGGTGTGGGTGGGTGTGAGTTGGACCTGACTAGCTTGTGGTAGGCCTTATGCCGTGCTCTTTCCTTAAGTGGATATGAGCTTACCTGACTAGGTGGGTCAGTGGTTTAAGCCGGGAGGTGACTTAGACCTGCCTCACATGGGCCAGCAGGCCCATTATAAAACATAAACAGATATTGTCCAATTAAAACTAAGCAGATCACAGCAAAGACACTAAGCAATTGATAAGAAACAAGAACGTGAAAAACAATCCAGACATTTATACAGTGGACCCCCGGTTTACTATATTATTTCAGTCCAGAAGTATGTTCAGGTGCCAGTACTGACCGAATTTGTTCCCATAAGGAATATTGTGAATTAGATTAGCCCATTTTGTTGATATTCAGTAGTAAAGTTCGACTTACGACCATTTCGACTTACGACCGGTTTCTCGGAACCGAACTCGGTCGTAACTCGGATGGTAGGTGCATTGAAAAATAAATAAGTGAATATAAGTTCCTGCCTCGTTCATGCTGGGTAATTATCTCAAATTTCATCTCCAGATTACTTTTGTACCATCGTAATGTTGAGATATCTTAAGTCGAGGAGCACCTGTATAGGCATACCTCGCTAATACGGCGGGTTAGGTTCCAGACCGCTTCCGTAAAAACCACAATCGCCTTAAAGCCAAGCACAGCTTTTTTTTTCACTTGCCAATGCATTTAAAAGCCTAAAACACGTTTGCATTATCATTAAGTCCACGGTAACACTAAGCCTAAAAGAAGTGATGCATAAGTAAAAATAATTAATAAATAAAAATTGAAAATTGTCACGAATATAATTGACAAGTGCCGTATTACCGAGGTGCTTTAGAGAAAGCGCCATATTAACCAGGTCCGTCTGTACATTATTTTCCTGTACGTTGCAAAAAGCTTGTAATCATTCACATTATAAAACAGTTGACAGGAGACAAGTGCATACACTTAGGACAACTTTAAGGATCTTAGTCACTCTTTGGAGTGACTGTTGTCACCCCAAAATACATTTCAGTCACAGGACTGAATTGTTAGAATAATAATCATAATAATTCTTCTTCTTTCAATACACTGGCCGCATCTCACCAAGGCAGGGTGGACCAAAAAAAAAACACCAGTTTCTCTATAAATTTAGTAATATATACGGAAGGGGTTACTAGCCCCTTGCTCCCGGCATTTTAGTCGCCTCTTACAACACGCATGGCTTACTGAGGGAGAATTTTGTTCCACTTCCCCATGGAGATAAGAGGAAATAACAACAAGGAAAAGAACTATTAAAAAAATAGAAGAAAACCCAGAGGGGTATATATATATGCTTGTACATGTATGTGTAGTGTGACCTAAGTGTAAGTAGAAGCAGCAAGACGTACCTGAAATCTTGCATGTTTATGAAACGGAAAAAAGACACCAGCAATCCTACCATCATGTAAAACAATTACAGGCTTCCGTTTTACACTCACTTGGCAGGACGGTAGTACCTCCCTGGGTGGTTGCTGTCTACCAACCTACTACCTAGGTATTATGATAATTATAATAATAATTATAATAATTATAATAATGTCTTTATTTCTATAAGCACATGTACAAGGTATACAGACCATAGCTGACATCATTGACAAAGTACCTTGTTATGCTGAGCATTTCCCACAAATTAGGTCATTTTGTCCCAGGATGCAACCCACACCAGTCCACTAACACCCAGGATGTGACCCACACCAGTCCACTAACACCCAGGATGTGACCCACACCAGTCCACTAACACCCAGGATGTGACCCACACCAGTCCACTAACACCCAGGATGTGACCCACACCAGTCCACTAACACCCAGGATGTGACCCACACCAGTCCACTAACACTCAGGATGCAACCCACACCAGTCTACTAACACTCAGGATGCAACCCACACCAGTCTACTAACACTCAGGATGCAACCCACACCAGCCCACTAACACCCAGGATGTGACCCACACCAGTCCACTAACACCCATTTTACTGGTGGGGAACATAGACAACCAGTGTCAGGAAATACCTAATGTTTCCACCCTTGCCAGGAATAAAACCCGGGCCCCTCAGTGTGTGAAGCGAGAGCTTCAGCCACCAGGCCATGGGCCAACACGGGTCAACTACTGTCGATGAATACACACAAGGTAGTAGGTTGGTAGACAGCAACCACCCAGGGAAGTACTACCGTCCTGCCAGATGACTGTGAAACAAAAACCTGTAACTGTTTTGCATGATGGTAGGATTGCTGGTTTTCTTTTTCTGTCTCATAAACACGCTAGATAACAGGGATATCTTGCTACTCCTACTTACACTTTGGTCACACTTCACAGACACGCACATGCATATATATATATACATACATCTAGGTTTTTCTCCTTATTCTAAATAGCTCTTGTTCTTTTTTTATTTCTTCTATTGTCCATGGGGAAGTGGAAAAGAATCTTTCCTCCGTAAGCCATGCGTGTCGTATGAGGCGACTAAAATGCCGGGAGCAATGGGCTAGTAACCCCTTCTCCTGTATACATTTACTAAAAAAAGAAGAAGAAAAACTTTATAAAACTGGGTTGTTTTAAATGTGCGTGGATGTAGTGCGGATGACAAGAAACAGATGATTGCTGATGTTATGAATGAAAAGAAGTTGGATGTCCTGGCTCTAAGCGAAACAAAGCTGAAGGGGGTAGGAGAGTTTCAGTGGGGGGAAATAAATGGGATTAAATCTGGAGTATCTGAGAGAGTTAGAGCAAAGGAAGGGGTAGCAGTAATGTTAAAATGATCAGTTATGGAAGGAGAAAAGAGAATATGAATGTGTAAATTCGGGGAATTATGTGGATTAAAGTAAAGGTTGGATGCGAGAAGTGGGTCATAATAAGCGTGTATGCACCTGGAGAAGAGAGGAATGCAGAGGAGAGAGAGAGATTTTGGGAGATGTTAAGTGAATGTATAGGAGCCTTTGAACCAAGTGAGAGAGTAATTGTGGTAGGGGACCTGAATGCTAAAGTAGGAGAAACTTTTAGAGAGGGTGTGGTAGGTAAGTTTGGGGTGCCAGGTGTAAATGATAATGGGAGCCCTTTGATTGAACTTTGTATAGAAAGGGGTTTAGTTATAGGTAATACATATTTTAAGAAAAGAGGATAAATAAGTATACACGATATGATGTAGGGCGAAATGACAGTAGTTTGTTGGATTATGTATTAGTAGATAAAAGACTGTTGAGTAGACTTCAGGATGTACATGTTTATCGAGGGGCCACAGATATATCAGATCACTTTCTAGTTGTAGCTACACTGAGAGTAAAAGGTAGATGGGATACAAGGAGAATAGAAGCATCAGGGAAGAGAGAGGTGAAGGTTTATAAACTAAAAGAGGAGGCAGTTAGGGTAAGATATAAACAGCTATTGGAGGATAGATGGGCTAATGAGAGCATAGACAATGGGGTCGAAGAGGAATGGGGTAGGTTTAAAAATGTAGTGTTAGAGTGTTCAGCAGAAGTTTGTGGTTACAGGAAAGTGGGTGCAGGAGGGAAGAGGAGCGATTGGTGGAATGATGATGTAAAGAGAGTGGTAAGGGAGAAAAAGTTAGCATATGAGAAGTTTTTACAAAGTAGAAGTGATGCAAGGAGGGAAGAGTATATGGAGAAAAAGAGAGAGGTTAAGAGAGTGGTGAAGCAATGTAAAAAGAGAGCAAATGAGAGAGTGGGTGAGCTGTTTATCAACAAATTTTGTTGAAAATAAGAAAAAGTTTTGGAGTGAGATTAACAAGTTAAGGAAGCCTAGAGAACAAATGGATTTGTCAGTTAAAAATAGGAGAGGAGAGTTATTAAATGGAGAGTTAGAGGTATTGGGAAGATGGAGGGAATATTTTGAGGAATTGTTAAATGTTGATGAAGATAGGGAAGCTGTGATTTGTGTATAGGGCAAGGAGGAATAACATCTTGTAGGAGTGAGGAAGAGCCAGTTGTGAGTGTGGGGGAAGTTCGTGAGGCAGTAGGTAAAATGAAAGGGGTAAGGCAGCCGGGATTGATGGGATAAAGATAGAAATGTTAAAAGCAGGTGGGGATATAGTTTTGGAGTGGTTGGTGCAATTATTTAATAAATGTATGGAAGAGGGTGAGGTACCTAGGGATTGGCAGAGAGCATGCATAGTTCCTTTGTATAAAGGCAAAGGGGATAAAAGAGAGTGCAAAAATTATAGGGGGATAAGTCTGTTGAGTGTACCTGGTAAAGTGTATGGTAGAGTTATAATTGAAAGAATTAAGAGTAAGACGGAGAATAGGATAGCAGATGAACAAGGAGGCTTTAGGAAAGGTAGGGGGTGTGTGGACCAGGTGTTTACAGTGAAACATATAAGTGAACAGTATTTAGATAAGGCTAAAGAGGTCTTTGTGGCATTTATGGATTTGGAAAAGGCGTATGACAGGGTGGATAGGGGGGCAATGTGGCAGATGTTGCAAGTGTATGGTGTAGGAGGTAGGTTACTGAAAGCAGTGAAGAGTTTTTACGAGGATAGTGAGGCTCAAGTTAGAGTATGTAGAAAAGAGGGAAATTTTTTCCCAGTAAAAGTAGGCCTTAGACAAGGATGTGTGATGTCACCGTGGTTGTTTAATATATTTATAGATGGGGTTTGTAAGAGAAGTAAATGCGAGGGTCTTGGCAAGAGGCGTGGAGTTAAAAGATAAAGAATCACACACAGGGTGGGAGTTGTCACAGCTGCTCTTTGCTGATGACACTGTGCTCTTGGGAGATTCTGAAGAGAAGCTGCAGAGATTGGTGGATGAATTTGGTAGGGTGTGCAAAAGAAGAAAATTAAAGGTGAATACAGGAAAGAGTAAGGTTATGAGGATAACAAAAGATTAGGTGATGAAAGATTGAATATCAGATTGGAGGGAGAGAGTATGGAGGAGGTGAACGTATTCAGATATTTGGGAGTGGACGTGTCAGCGGATGGGTCTATGAAAGATGAGGTGAATCATAGAATTGATGAGGGAAAAAGAGTGAGTGGTGCACTTAGGAGTCTGTGGAGACAGAGAACTTTGTCCTTGGAGGCAAAGAGGGGAATGTATGAGAGTATAGTTTTACCAACGCTCTTATATGGGTGTGAAGCATGGGTGATGAATGTTGCAGCGAGGAGAAGGCTGGAGGCAGTGGAGATGTCATGTCTGAGGGCAATGTGTGGTGTGAATATAATGCAGAGAATTCGTAGTTTGGAAGTTAGGAGGAGGTGCGGGATTACCAAAACTGTTGTCCAGAGGGCTGAGGAAGGGTTGTTGAGGTGGTTCGGACATGTAGAGAGAATGGAGCGAAACAGAATAACTTCAAGAGTGTATCAGTCTGTAGTGGAAGGAAGGCGGGGTAGGGGTCGGCCTAGGAAGGGTTGGAGGGAGGGGGTAAAGGAGGTTTTGTGTGCGAGGGGCTTGGACTTCCAGCAGGCATGCGTGAGCGTGTTTGATAGGAGTGAATGGAGACAAATGGTTTTTAATACTTGACGTGCTGTTGGAGTGTGAGCAAAGTAACATTTATGAAGGGATTCAGGGAAACCGGCAGGCCGGACTTGAGTCCTGGAGATGGGAAGTACAGTGCCTGCACTCTGAAGGAGGGGTGTTAATGTTGCAGTTTAAAAACTGTAGTGTAAAGCACCCTTCTGGCAAGACAGTGATGGAGTGAATGATGGTGAAAGTTTTTCTTTTTCGGGCCACCCTGCCTTGGTGGGAATCGGCCAGTGTGATAATAAAAAAAAAAAAAAAAAAAAAAAAAAAAAAATGGACGGGAGGCTCAAATCATGATCCATAAATTTATGGACCATGGTTCGAGCCTCTCAGCCATCCTCCTGTTTACCCACTTCAATACGTTTTGACAATAAAAGTGATCTTTATCAAAAAAAGCATTTCATCAGAAAGAGAGCTATTGTGTATGGTGTGATTCTTAGCAAATGCAACTGCAAAAATGCATTTAAAATTCAGAAGCGAGCACTTTGAAGGCTTTTTAATGTACTATTCAATTTTGGATGCTTTTTTCCACATCTACAAAAAAATTTGCACACTATAAAACAGGTTTGAGTATCAACAAAGATTAGGAACCTGAGTTAGTATATTTAGAATTTAACTATGGTCATACCACACTCATACCATGGTCATACCATATTTTCATTGAGGGTCCTTGTAGACTTAAATCACCTATCTGATTTTTTTGGGTTATCCTGGTGGGTAATTTACATGTGATAACTGTACTTATGTCTACCCCTGTCTAAACAAACTTGCTTCGCAGAATTCGCCGAACCATACGCCCTGGTCGTCCTGCTTCACAATGATCTTGTTGTTGTGGACCTGCACACCCAAGGTTACCCATGCTTTGAGAACCCCTATTCGATGGACCTGCACGAATCCCCTGTCACCTGTTGCACCTACCTGGCCGACTGCCCAGCGGACCTCATACCGGCCTTCTACTCCGTCGGGGCCCGCGGCCACAAGCGGCAAGGCTTCAGCGAGAGGGAGTGGCCCATCTGTGGTGGCGAATGGGGCACCATGTCGTGTAGCTACGCTGAGATGATTATTACCGGGTGAGAAGATGTGTTTGATAGTCTAGCATGTCTAAACTACTTGTCATGTCTAAACTACTTGTCATGTCACTACTAAACTCTTTTATAAAGTTCCTTTATTATAGGGCAATATTTTTAACGCTCCTTTATTATTTGTAAAGCTCTTTACTTGTTTATAAAGCTCCTCTATTGTAGGGCAATGTTTTTGTAAATGTGACTGAAGAAGTACATTCAATACTGAATGAAGCAGGGGAAAGGCCTCTGTAGTACATGCTTTTCAATTTGGACACCATAGGGAGGTTAGCATGGGCCCCACTTAACTAGATGAATGTTATTGTAGCCAGGTGTCCCAGTAGTTAGCACACTGTCCTAGTGTTTTACCACTCACTGGCCATGGGTTCTAAGCCCACCTGTTCGGTGGTTTAAACATACCCAGTTGTTACACATGTCTAATTTTTCAATACCGAAAGTCATTGACTTAAGAACATATTGAAAATTTTCAGTATTGTGTTTATCATTATTGTTATATATCTTTCTTTCTTTCAACACACCGGCTGTATCCCACCGAAGCGGGGTGGCCCAAAAGGAAAAACGAAAGTTTTTCCTTTTACATTTAGTAATATGTACAGGAGAAGGGGTTACTAGCCCCTGGCTCCCGGCATTTTAGTCGCCTCTTACAACACGCATGGCTTACGGAGGATGAATTCTGTTCCACTTCCCCATGGAGATAAGAGGAAATACGCAAGAACTAGAAAGAAAATAGCAGAAAACCCAGAGGGGTGTGTGTATATATATATGCTTGTACATGTATGTGTAGTGTGACCTAAGTGTAAGTAGAAGCAGCAAGACGTACCTGAAATCTTGCATGTGTATGGGACAGAAAAAAAAGACACCAGCAATCCTACCATCATGTTAAACAGTTACAGGTTTCTGTTTCATAGTCACCTGGCAGGACGGTAGTACCTCCCTGGGCGGTTGCTGACTACCAACCTACTACCTAGGTATTGTTATATATATCATTATTTTACACAATACAGAAGATTCTCAATATGTTTGTAACTTCAAGACTTCCTGTAATAACAGATTTGCTTCCTGATCTTTGACCATTATAGCCGAGGCCTTGACTTCACCACAACTTCTCTGTATTTCTTTTGACTTTTCTTATATATCTCCCAGACTGTGTAACACATCACCACTGTCTGTTAAGCTACAGGAATGTATATATCCTTTTAAATCTCAATTCAAAATGCATCTCTTTTCTAAAGAATAATAATAATTTTTTTAACACATTGGCAGTTTCCCACCAAGGCAGGGTGACCTGAAAAAGAAGAAACTCTTTCATCATTCACTCCATCACTGTCTTGCCAGAGGTGCGCTTACACTACAGTTATAAAACTGCAACATTAACACCCCTCCTTCAGAGTACAGGCACTGTACTTCCCATCTCCAGGACTCAAGTCCGGCCTGCCAGTTTCCCTGAATCCCTTCATAAATGTTACTTTGCTCACACTAACAGCATGTCAAATCCTAAAACACATTTGTTTTCACTCCTATCTAACACGCTCATGCATGTTTGCTGGAAGTCCAAGCCCCTTGCACACAAAACCTCCTTTACCCCCTCCCTCCAACCTTTCCTAAGCTGATCTCTACCCCGCCTTCCCTTCACTTCAGATTTATACACTTAGTCATTCTGTTTTGTTCCATCCTCTTTAAATGTCTGACCCACCTCACCGACCCCTCCTCAGCCCTCTGGATAATAGTTTTAGTAATCCCACACCTCCTCCTAATCTCCAAACTATGGATTCTATGCATTATATTCACACCACACATTCCCCTCAGACATGACGTCTCCACTGCCTCCAGCCTTCTCCTTGTTGCAACATTCACCACCCATGTTTCACACCCATATAACAGTCTTGGTACCAGTACCTCCAGCCTTCTCCTTGTTGCAACATTCATCACCCATGTTTCACACCCATATAACAGTCTTGGTACCACTACCTCCAGCCTTCTCCTTGTTTCAACATTCACTACCCATGTTTCACACCCATATAACAGTCTTGGTACCAGTACCTCCAGCCTTCTCCTTGTTGCAACATTCATCACCCATGTTTCACACCCATATAAGAGTGTTGGTATAACTATTCTCTCATAAATTCCCCTCTTTGCTTTCATGGATAACATTCTTTGTCTCCACAGACTCCTCAGTGCACCACTCACCCTTTTTCCCTCATCAGTTCTATGATTCACCTCATCTTTCATAGACACATCCGCTGATAAATCTACTCCTAAATATCTGAATACATTCACCTCCTCCATACTCTCTCCATTCAATCTGATATCCAATCTTTCATTGCCTAAATTTTTTTGTTATCCTTATAACCTTACTCTTTCCTATATTCACTTTTATTTTCCTTCTTTTACATACCCTTCAAATTCATCCACCAACCTCTACAACTTCTCTTCAAAATCTACCAAAAGCACAGTGTCATCAGCAAAGAGTAACTGTGATATCTCCCACTTTGTGTTAATTAAGATTCTTAATCTTTTAACCCCACACCTCTTGCCAACACCCGAGCATTCACTTCTCTTACAACTCCATCTATAAATATATTGAACAACCACGGTGACATCACACTTCCCTGTCTAAGGCCTACTTTTACTGGGAAATAATCTCCCTCTCTCCTACATACTCTAACCTGTGCCTCACTATCCTTGTAAAAACTTTTCACTGCTGTAAGTAGCCTACCTCTTGTTCCATACACCTGCAACATCTGCCACATTGCCCCCCTATCCACCCTGTCATACACCTTTTCCCAATCCATAAATGCCACAAAAACCTCTTTACTCTTATCTAAATACTGTTCACTTATATGTTTCACTGTAAACACCTGGTCCACACACCCCCTACCTTTCCTAAAGCCTCCTTGTTCATCTGCTATCCTACTCTCCGTCTTACTCTTAATTCTTTCAATAATAACTGTACCATACACTTTACTAGGTATACTCAACAGACTTCTTCTTTCTTTCAACACACCGGCTGTATCCCACCGAGGCAGGGTGGCCCAAAAGGAGAAACGAAAGTTTCTCCTTGTACATTTAGTAATATATACAGGAGAAGGGGTTACTAGCCCCTTGCTCCCGGCATTTTAGTCGCCTCCTCCACCACTCATGGCTTACGGAGGAAGAATTCTGTTCCACTTCCCCATGGAGATAAGAGGAAATAAACAAGAACAAGAACTAGAAAGAAAATAACGGAAAACCCAGAGGGGTGTATATACACATATATGCTTGTACATGTATGTGTAGTGTGACCTAAGTGTAAGTAGAAGTAGCAAGACGTACCTGTAATCTTGCATATTTATGAGACAGACAAAAGACACCAGCAATCCTACCATCGTGTAAAACAATTACAGGTTTTCGTTTTACACTCACTTGGCAGGACGGTAGTACCTCCCTGGGTGGTTGCTGTCTACAACCTACTACCTTTACTCAACGGACTTATTCCCTATAATTTTTACACTCTCTCTTTTGTCCCCTTTACCTTTATACAAAGGAACTATGCATGCTCTCTGCCAACCCCCAGGTACCTTACCCTCTTCCATACATTTATTAAATAATAGCACCAACCACTCCAAAACTTTATCCCCACCTGCTTTTAACATTTCTGTCTTTATCCCATCAATCCCAACTGCCTTACCCCCTTTCATTTTACCTACTGCCTCACGAACTTAGTTCCTCAAAATATGCCCTCCTTCCTGATACCTCAAACACTTCATCTAATAACTCTCCTCTCCTATTTAGCTGTTAAATCCATTCATTCCCTAGGCTTTCTCAACTTACTAATCTCAGTCCAAAACTTTTTCTTATTCTCAGTAAAATTTGTTGATAACATCTCACCCACTCTCTCATTTGCTCTCTTTTTACATTGCTTCACCACTCTCTTAACCTCTCTCTTTCCCTCCATATACTTCTCCCTCCTCACATCACTTCTACTTTGTAAAAACCTCTCATATGCTAACTTTTTCTCTTATTACTCTCTCTACATGAATCCACCAATTGCTCCTCTTCCCTCCCGCACCCACTTTCCTGTAACCACAAACTTTTGCTGAACACTCTAACACCACATTTTAAAACCTACCCCATACCTGTTCATCTTCATTAGCCCATCTTTCTTCCTTTAGTTTGTAAACCTTCACCTTTCTCTTTCTTACTGATTCCCTTCTCCTTGTATCCCATCTACCTTTTACTCTCAGTTTAGCTACAACTAAAAAGTGATCTGATATATCTGTGGCCCCTCTAAACATGTACATCCTGAAGTCTACCCAACAGTCTTTTATTTACCAATACATAGTCCATCAAACTACTGTCATTTCACCCTACATCATATCTTGTATACTTATTTATCCTTTTTTTCTTAAAATATGTATTACCTATAATCAAACCCCTTTCTGTACAAAGTTCAATCAAAGGGCTCCCATTATCATTTACACCTGGCACCCCAAACTTACCTACCACACCCTCTCTAAATGTTTCTTCTACTTTAGTGTTTAGGTCCCCTACCACAGTTACTCTCTCACTTGGCTCAAAAGTTCCTACACACTCACTTAACATCTCCCAAAATCTCTCTCTCTGCTCTACACTCTTCCTCCAGGTGCATACACGCTTATTATAACCCACTTTTCACATCCAATCCTTGAATTTATACATTTATATTCCGTCTTCTCCTTCCATAACTGATCCTTCAACATTATTGCTCCCAGCATTTTAGTCGCCACTTACGACACGCATGGATTACTGGGAAAGAATTCTGTTCCACTTCCCCATGGAGATAAGGGGAAATAAAAAGAAGAAGAGCTAATAATTAACCACACTAATACTTAGTCATGCTGACATCAGTATTACTAACTACACTAATAGTCTTGCTGATATCAGTATTATTAACACACTAATACGTACTTAGTCTTGCTGACAGTATTAACCACTGATATTTTCAGCCATGCTGATGGCAGCATCAAGTTTTGGGATGCGTCGTCGGTAAGTCTACAGGTCCTGTATAAACTCAAGACAGCAAAGGTATTTGAGAAACCAAAGACTCGAAGCATCGACGGCGATGAGGATCCCTTTGCCATCCAGCACATCTTCCTGTGTCCCGAGTCCCGCTTCCTGTGTGTAGCCGGCGCCACCTCTCACGTTATACTCTTCAAATACTCCAAGCAAGAAACTATTTCAGAGATATCGGTAAGTTGTGCTGTGTTTACCAACCTGGCCCATGGCCGGGCTCGGGAGTAGAAAGACTCGAAACTAATCAGACATAAAATGTTCATTTGTTTTACCACTGCAAGGGTATAAACATGGTAATAATTTTATTTCAGCACGATACAGGTGGTCCTCGACTTACGATGGGGTTACTTTCCAACAAACCCATTGTAAGTCAAAAATACTGTAAATCAAAAATATCGTGTCAGAAATATTTTAAGTTGAACGTGAATATGATATTTTATATTATTGGAGGGAGTGGGTAAAGGAGGTTTTGTGGGTGAGGGGCTTGGACTTCCAGCAAACATGTGTGAGTGTGTTAGATAGGAGTGAATGGAGACGGATGGTTTTTGGGACCTGACGAGCTGTTGGAGTATGAGCAGGGTAATATTTAGTGAAGGGATTCAGAGAAACTCAGTTATTTTTATATAGCCAAACTTGAGCACTGGAAATGGGAAGTACAATGCCTGCTCTTTAAAGGAGGAGTTCGAGATATTGGCAGTTTGGAGGGATATGTTGTGTATCTTTATATATACAGTGGACCCCCGGTTAACGATATTTTTTCACTCCAGAAGTATGTTCAGGTGCCTGTACTGACCGAATTTGTTCCCATAAGGAATATTGTGAAGTAGATTAGTCCATTTCAGACCCCCAAACATACACGTACAAACGCACTTACATAAATACACTTACATAATTGGTCGCATTCGGAGGTGATCGTTAAGCGGGGGTCCACTGTACTTCTAAACTGTTGTATATGGGCGCCTCTTCAAAAACAGTGATTATGTGTGAGTGTGATGAAAGTATTTTCTTGGGGATTTTTTTTCTTTTTGGGACACCCTGCCTCGGTGGGAGACAGACAACTTGTTGAAAAAAAAATTATATGCTTCAATGTAAACACGTGATCTACACATCCCCTACCCACTCTAAAGCCTCCTTGCTCATCCGCAATCCTGGCCTCTGTCTTACCTCTAATTCTTTCAATAATAACCCTACTGTACACTTTTCCTGGTATACTCAGTAAACTCATTCCCCTGTAATTTTTATAATCTCTTTTGTCCCCCTTCCCTTTATATAAAGGAACTATACATGCTCTCTGCCAATCCCTAGGTACCTTCCCCTCTTTCATACATTTACTAAACAAAAATACCAGCCACTGCAACACTATATCCCCCTTGGTTTTAACATTTCTGTCATGATCCCATCAGTTCCAGCTGCTTTACCCCCTTTCATTCTACGTAATGCCTCACGTACCTCCCCCACACTTACATTCTGCTCTTCTTCACTCCTAAAAGATGGTATACCTCCCTGACCAGTGCATGAAATTACTGCCTCTGTTTCTTCCTCAACATTTAAAAGTTCCTCAAAACATTCTTGCCATCTACCTAATACCTCCATCTCCCCATCTACTAACTCTCCTACTCTGTTTTTAACTGACAAATCCATTTGTTCCCTAGGCTTTCTTAACCTGTTTATCTCACACCAAAATTTTTTCTTATTTTCCATCATAACTTGTACTCATTTACTTTTCAATACTGGTATTTACTTACAGTAATTAGTTGTTTATTCACTTATTCAGTGACAGTAGTTTTTTTTTTTTTTTTTTAATATTTATGTAGCATATGATGTTCAGCTAAAAATATTGTGAACTTAAGATGAGTTTGTCGGAGTGTAACCCCAATGTAAGTCAAGGTCCACCTGTAGTGTGCCTACTTAATGGTCCAAGTGGGACTGAAACAGGGGCATAAGTGCCATTCTCCTGTGTGCGGGCTATTTGCTTAATTTAAAAAAAAAAACATTTGCACTTCCGGCATTGCTAATAATATGTTTTCAGCTAACGTTAAGCGCTAATTATCAATATCTTCTCTTATGTGTTGTACCATTGTTCCACATGACCATTTTCTCTTATTCAACTACTTTTTTTTTTTTTTAAAACTGCCATTTCCTGAGGCAGGGTGACTCGAAACAGAAGAAACACTTTCATTATTACTTGCTCCAAAAACTTCAATATATATCTGCCCCTTCTTATAAAGGGTAATTTTTTGCAAATACACTTGGAAAAGACAGTGAAGCCGCAGCTCATGCGGCAAGGGCCTACATCAGGGACCTACCAGAAGACAAGACCGTAGTCAAACTTGATTTTAGAAATGCCTTTAATATGGTGAAGAGAGATGCTGTCTTGCCAGCTGTTCGGGATCGGTTCCCCAGTCTTTTTCCCTTCATTTCAGCTGGCTACAGCAAACCCTCAATTCTTTTGTTTGGAGAACATGAAATTCTCTCATCAGAGGGTGTTCAGCAGAGTGACCCACTCGCTCCACTTCTCTTCTGCTTGGCAGTAAGAGAACTAACTTCCAGCCTACGCAGCGAGCTCAACATCTGGTACCTGGGCGATGGCACTCTGGCAGGTACGGAAGAGTCCCTGGTAGGGGACCTACAACTGGTGAAAACACAGGGAGAAGACTTGGGACTCATCCTCAATCCCTCCAAGTGTGAAATCATCACAGCGAACCAGGAAATAATCAATGCTGTGCAAAGAATCCTCCCAGAAGTCTCTACTATCACTCCGTCCAACAGTACCCTCTTGGGAGCACCGCTGGGTCACCAGGCCATCGACACTGTCCTCAAGGACAAATTGAATGACCTGATGAGAGTGGAGTAGAGAATAAGCGATCTTGATGCCCATGATGCTCTGTATCTCCTCACAAGGTGCCTTACTATGCCAAGACTCACTTCCTGAGGTGTGCACCCTCTTTTGACAACCCAACACTCAACGAATATGATGCACACCTGAGGTCAACTTTTAAGAAGCACTGAACCTGTCACTAGAGGATCAGCAATGGGATCAGGCAACCCTCCCAGTGCGACTGGGAGGTATAGGGATGCGCAAAGCAACGCATGTTGCTTTACCTGCTTTTCTGTCTTTGTGTTTGGCTTCCAGTGCATTAGTCAAGAAGATTGTTCCTGAATGCTTGAGAGACGTGGTAGGAGCTCAAGTCCCCAGGTTTACTGAAGCAGCGATTTGGTGGAACACCCTTACAGATTCCTCCAGTAGAGAAGCTCCTCCCAAAGAGCACAAACAGTCCCACTGGGACAAACCGATCATGGAAAAAATCGCCAACACAATGCTCTCCAACGCCTCAGGAAAAGACAAAGCTCGAATCCTGGTAGTGAAGGCACCACACTCGGGAGATTTCCTGTTAGCTGTTCCCAATTCCTTCTTGGGCACTCGACTAGACCCACAGGCCGTTCGGATTGGTGTTGCTCTTCGCCTAGCCGCCCCATCCTTACTGAACATAGGTGTATTTGTGGCAGGGCGACAGCTGATCAATTCAGACTTCATGGTCTCGTGTGTCACACAGCAGAAGGGAAGTATGCCAGACGTGAGGAGGTCAATGACATCATAAAGAGAAGCCTCGCCACAGCCCGTTGCCCAGCTCAACGGCAACCCCAAGTGCAGAGGACTGATGGAAGTTAAAAGCGTCCTGATAGAGCCACTATGCTACCTTGGAAGGATGGAAAGCAGATTGCCTGGGACTACACCTGTGCCGCCACATTGGCAGACACCTACTTGCCATTCTCCGTAGTGGAAGGGGGTGGAGCTGCCAGCCACAGGGAGACCCAGAAGACCCGCAAATATGAAGACCTTCCCCCTTGCTATAACTTCATCCCAATAGAGTCGGAGACCCTTGGAGCATGGGGCAAGTGTGCTCTAAAGTTCCTCAAAGAGCTGGGTGAAAAGGTCATCATAGAAACCAAGGACCACAGGGTGACCAGCTTCCTCTTTCAGAGACTCAGTATTGTGATCCAGAGAGGAAATGCCGGCAGCATTCTGGGCACGCAGCCCACCGCCGGGGAGCTGGACAAAGTATTCCAGATGTAGCTCTGAGTTACCTATGTTGTTTTACTTGGAAAAATGTATTTAAAATTGAATGATATTTACTGTGAAGCCTTTTTCAGTGGCTGTTAAATTTTGAATGTACTTTTTTCAATCTTTTGCAAAAATCCTACTGTAGTACATTTCTCCATGGGAAGCGGAGAAGAATTTTTCCTCCGTAAGCCATACGTGTCATGAGAGGCGACTAAAGTAGCGGGAGCAAGGGGCTAATAACCCCTTCTCCTGTATATTTGCTAAATGTAAAAAATAAAGAAAAACTTTGCATTTATTTTTTTTCGGGTCACTCTGCCTCAGTGGGAGACAGTCAGTTTGTTAAAAAGAAATATTAAGCAGCTTTATAAGAGTTTACTGTAATACAAGAATCTTTTGTTTCAGTGTCTGGAGATTCCAATCGTTTACGATGTGTATGAATCAGGCGACTGCTCTCCAGAGTACGAGTTCCCACCTCGTCCATCGCTTCAGGTAGCCCATAGCCCCCACCACACTTCAGCCGCAGGGGAAAACACCAATAAAAAGGCCTCTGATAAAAAAGGCCCCAGTCAGAGTCAGAATAATAGGAAAAAACCAGGTGTATGTATCAGCGATGTAGTAGAGTGAACCCGGGTGTTGTCAGTGTACGTGCTGGCTTAGCCTAGTACAGTCAGAGCTCTTATAAATCTCCTCTAAGTAGTGTGAGTTTTTGTAAATGCAGTTGAAGAAGTACGGGAGGGCCTCAAATATACAGCGCTTCTTTCCCACATTCCATGTTCTCGTTGGCCTCAAATTGAGCCATTGTTCATTATGTTCCAGCCACTTGCAATTGTCACCAGCGGCTGGAACAAGGACTCGGTTGAAAGACAATGAAAACATGAAACACCGAAAAAGGATCTGTATGTGCAGGGTCGTCCTGTACATTGAAAATTGAATAGCACATGAAAAGGCCTTCATGGTATGAGCTATTTCAGAGACACTTATGCAGTTGCATTTACAAAAAAAAATCAGTTTAGAATAGGTTTGTAAGAGAAGTGACTGGTATACTGGGTGTGTTGTATGATCCCAGGTGTTGTCAGTGTGCGTGCTGGCTGTAACCTAGTATACTGGGTGTGTCCGTGTCTTCCCATCGACAGGAAAGTAGTCTGCTCGTTCTTTTTTCTTAGGAGTCTGTAGAGTTGACTTGAGGGCCAAATAACTGAACCTTGTCATATTTAAGACTACTTGACGATAATAAACCTGTAACTCCCTTTAAACTAGACAATAAATGCTCGACTAAATGTATTATTAGTAATGTTCGACTAAACATGTCATTAGTAGAAATGTTCCTCTCTCTAGTCAGTCGCATTAGTTTTCTTTTCTAGACAAGCAAGTAAGCATGATCTTATTTAGAAATAATTTTTTTTAGCTCTTACGATGCATTCTCATTACGTTTTAATTTTTAAAAGTCTAAAACACTCGTATTCTGTCATATTTTATGTTATTTCTAATACGGATCTTTCAGTTGACCGTAATTGACACAGTGCATGCTGTGTTTGAGGTAGATTATATTGAGAAATGTCTCTATATATGTATATTAATGGTATTGTAAATAAACCAGGGAACGGGTGGGGGTCAAACTCATGGCAAGTGAGCTGTAAAACTGAAGGCAGTGTGTAAGCCACTCCGAGTGGTTTACACCCTCCCTTGCAGTTTTACGACTAACTTATGATGAGTTCATGCCCCACCTGTTCCCAGGTTTGTTTACATTCGTTGTATTACGATTTCGTGAGTCATGGTGGTAGATAAATATATTAATGAGACAATATGCTGTTTGTGTTATTTAGTTACGAACACTTTTTATTCACAAGAGACTTTATCAGTTTTGAGAATTGATGGATGACCTAGAGGACAAAATATTTTTGCAACGGAATGATATAAACTGCATATTGTTCCTTATTAACAGGTCTTAAAATTTTTTTAACATACTATTTAATAAATGGTAATAAATTTAAGTTAACATTCTTGTAAAGCGTTGCCAAGAACCATCAACCTTTATTTTTCAAAAACATTTTCAGTTTTCTAGAGTCAGTAAGATCCTTAATGAAGAATGATTATAGATACAAGCTTTGCTCTTGTGAGAAAATTGATATGTGAGTGTTTATAGGCATCGCTGGACTACTTCGTTCCCATCCACGTGCGGGGCGGGGCACAGAAGAAAGGATCGGGGTACCAGGCGGAGCTGGTCTGTCTGATGCCCTGGGTGGAGGGTGAGCCTCCAGGACCTATCACTGCCCTTGCTATCAACTCCTCCTATGGACTGTGAGTCTTGCTTGTCTTTTTACTCTTTTGTAAGTCGAAAAAGACCTGTGTTGAAAAATGTGTCGGCCTTGGGACCTTGATTGAGGTCCTGGGACCTATCACTGACCTTGTTATCAACTCCTCCTATGGGCTGTGAGTCTTGTTTATATTTGTACTCTATAAATTGGAAACGATACACGGGCATATGCTAGGACACAGTGGCGGCTCATGTATGGGCACTGCAGCACCCCATATTTTCACTCGATATTATCGATAACATTCAGTATAATGAGTCTTTGTTTTCTTTAATTCTTTCTTTATACATTATATAATCCTTAACCCGTAAACGGTCCAAGCAGATCTACGTTCATATGCGTAGTTGTCAGCATAGTTGCTGAATCCCCATACATGTGTTGTATAGATTAACTGAAAATTATAGTACCATCCATGTGCTTTATATAGAAGATCCCTATTAGGCCGAGTGACTGTATGACGTCACAGGATACAGCACGAGTGAGTGAGAGGCGCTGCCTCGTCCTCACTCCACGGATAGATATACAAGCAGGCAGAACAAGGCAGGCCTGGGCTCCCATCACAGTCTGACAATATAGTGTTACCATCCACAAGCGTGTTTACCTACAACCATCATATCTCCTACCGAACCCCTACGACATAGTGTTCCAAAAGTAGATCTACGTTTTTTTTACATTTTCAAATATAACAAAAAACAAAAGTGGATCAAAGTTTTTTACACGTTTTTTACATACTATTTTTACATACTTTCAAATGTTGAAAAAAGTATATATACGTTTCGACCGTTTACGGGTTAAGCTTAGTGTCAGTAGCCATCCCCTAGTACATAAAAAAATTACAATAATTCTTGTATGGAACTGTGCGCTTCACAGTTCCAGCTGAAGCAGCACCTCCACTAATTTTAGCTGTGAGCCGCCACTGTTGGGACATAATTTTAGAAAATATTTGGGTCCTGGGACCTTGATTTAGGGCCCCACTTATACAGCAGGTAAGGTTCCAGGCTTCTTCTGTATACGAGGGCTCCACTTATACAGCAGGTTAGGTTCCAGGCTACTGCTGTACATGAGGGCCCCACTTAGCAGGTTAGATTCCAGGCTACTGCTGTACATGAGGGCCCCACTTATACAGCAGGTTAGGTCCCAGGCTAGTGTACAGGAGGGCCACACTTATACAGCAGATTAGGTTCCATGCTACTGCTGTACAGGAGGACCCCACTTATACAGCAGGTTAGGTTCCAGGCTACTGCTGTACATGAGGGTCCCACTTATACAGCAGGTTAGGTTCCAGGTTACTGCTGTACATGAGGGTCCCACTTATACAGCAGGTTAGGTTCCAGGCTACTGCTGTACATGAGGACCCCACTTATACAGCAGGTTAGGTTCCAGGCTACTGCTGTACATGAGGACCCCACTTATACAGCAGGTTAGGTTCCAGGCTACTGCTGTACAGGACGACCCCACTTATACAGCAGGTTAGGTTCCAGGCTACTACTGTAAATGAGGATCCCACTTATACAGCAAGTTAGGTTCCAGGTTACTGCTGTACAGGAGGACCCCACTTATACAGCAGGTTAGGTTCCAGGCTACTGATGTACAGGAGGACCCCACTTATACAGCAAGTTAGGTTCCAGGCTACTGCTGTACATGAGGGCCCCACTTATACAGCAGGTTAGGTTCTAGGCTACTGCTGTACAGGAGGGCCCCACTTACACAGCAGGTTAGGTTCCAGGCTACTGCTGTACAGGAGGACCGCACTTGTACAGCAGGTTAGGTTCCAGGCTACTGCTGTACATTAGGGCTCCACTTATACAGCAGGTTAGGTTCCAGGCTACTGCTATACAGGAGGACCCCACTTATACAGCAGGTTAGGTTCCAGGCTACTGCTGTACATGAGGGTCCCACTTATACAGCAGGTTAGGTTCCAGGCTACTGCTGTACATGAGGCCCCACTTATACAGCAGGTTAGGTTCCAGGCTACTGCAGTACAGGAGGGCCCCACTTATACAGCAGGTTAGGTTCCAGGCTACTGCTGTACATGAGGGTCCCACTTATACAGCAGGTTAGGTTCCAGGCTACTGCAGTACAGGAGGGCCCCACTTATACAGCAGGTTAGGTTCCAGGCTACTGCTGTACATGAGGGTCCCACTTATACAGCAGGTTAGGTTCCAGGCTACTGCAGTACAGGAGGGCCCCACTTATACAGCAGGTTAGGTTCCAGGCTACTGCAGTACAGGAGGACCCCACTTATACAGCAGGTTAGGTTCCAGGCTACTGCAGTACAGGAGGGCCCCACTTATACAGCAGGTTAGGTTCCAGGCTACTGCAGTACAGGAGGACCCCACTTATACAGCAGGTTAGGTTCCAGGCTACTGCTGTACATGAGGGTCCCACTTATACAGCAGGTTAGGTTCCAGGCTACTGCAGTACAGGAGGGCCCCACTTATACAGCAGGTTAGGTTCCAGGCTACTGCAGTACAGGAGGACTCCACTTATACAGCAGGTTAGGTTCCAGGCTACTGCAGTACAGGAGGGCCCCACTTATACAGCAGGTTAGGTTCCAGGCTACTGCAGTACAGGAGGACCCCGCTTATACAGCAGGTTAGGTTCCAGGCTACTGCAGTACAGGAGGACCCCACTTATACAGCAGGTTAGGTTCCAGGCTACTGCAGTACAGGAGGACCCCACTTATACAGCAGGTTCCAGGTTACTGCAGTACAGGAGGGCCCCACTTATACAGCAGGTTAGGTTCCAGGCTACTGCAGTACAGGAGGACCCCACTTATACAGCAGGTTAGGTTCCAGGCTACTGCAGTACAGGAGGACCCCACTTATACAGCAGGTTAGGTTCCAGGCTACTGCAGTACAGGAGGACCCCACTTATACAGCAGGTTAGGTTCCAGGCTACTGCAGTACAGGAGGACCCCACTTATACAGCAGGTTAGGTTCCAGGCTACTGCTGTACATGAGTGTCCCACTTATACAGCAGGTTAGGTTCCAGGCTACTGCAGTACAGGAGGACCCCACTTATACAGCAGGTTAGGTTCCAGGCTACTGCAGTACAGGAGGACCCCACTTATACAGCAGGTTAGGTTCCAGGCTACTGCAGTACAGGAGGACCCCACTTATACAGCAGGTTAGGTTCCAGGCTACTGCTGTACATGAGTGTCCCACTTATACAGCAGGTTAGGTTCCAGGCTACTGCAGTACAGGAGGACCCCACTTATACAGCAGGTTAGGTTCCAGGCTACTGCAGTACAGGAGGGCCCCACTTATACAGCAGGTTAGGTTCCAGGCTACTGCAGTACAGGAGGACCCCACTTATACAGCAGGTTAGGTTCCAGGCTACTGCAGTACAGGAGGGCCCCGCTTATACAGCAGGTTAGGTTCCAGGCTACTGCAGTACAGGAGGGCCCCACTTATACAGCAGGTTAGGTTCCAGGCTACTGCAGTACAGGAGGACCCCACTTATACAGCAGGTTAGGTTCCAGGCTACTGCAGTACAGGAGGGCCCCACTTATACAGCAGGTTCCAGGTTACTGCTGTAAAGTGAAACAAACAATTTTTTTCACTTTCAAATGCACATAAAAGTCTGATAACATATTTACACTATCATATATTAAGTGAGCAATAGAGCTAGGCCTAAAAAATGCCTATGCAGTACACACATTACTTACCTTAAAATGTTTTTATCCTTAGCTTATAGCGAGTGATGAATACATTTATTGTACGAAATCTGAATATATAATAAATGGCTATATTTGAGCCGCTGTATTAGTGAAACACTACAACAAACACTACAAGAAAGCGCTGTAAAGTGAGGCCGTCCTGTTACCTAGGGTTTAATTCTCTCACTGCTGCCAACACCTTACATTAGGTTACTTAGTAGTAAACATACTGTCTCCTCTTTTATAAAGCTCGTCTACAAATGCTGTTTTTCATACATGAAATTGAAAAAGTACGTTAAAAATTGAGTATTACACACCGTTGAGTTTTTTCTACACCCTATTCAGTTTCAGTGCCCTTTTCATAATTGTGTTGTGTATAGGAGCTTCATAAGACAGCTGACGGCCTTACAACTACAGTGGACCCCCGGTTAACGATATTTTTTCACTCCAGAAGTATGTTCAGGTGCTAGTACTGACCGAATTTTTTCCCATAAGAAATATTGTGAAGTAGATTAGTCCATTTCAGACCCCCAAACATACACGTACAAACGCACTTACATAAATACACTTACATAATTGGTCGCATTCGGAGGTAATCGTTATGCGGGGGTCCACTGTAGTGTGTTTGTGGAGATGTAGCATCACCTGATATAATATTAAATTCTCCTATACTCTAACTCATCTAACGACGCTATGAACTATGTATTATTGCCTTACTAATCTAAAGTTAATCTTTACGTTTGCCCGAAATGCTCAGCATACCGAGAGGCTTTTGGCATGTATACCCAACTATTATATTCCTCTGTACAACCATGTAATTCGTCAAAATAAAAACTAATCTAATAAACTGTAGTTTTTAAGCTGTATTATCAGCACGCCTCTTGCAAGACAGTAATGGAGTGAGTGATGGTGAAAGTTTTTTTTTCTTTTTTGGGTCACATTGCCTTGGTGGGAGATGGTTTTTGACGAGTTCCAAGAGTGTTTCTACTCTTGGAACCCGGGTATGGGCCGGGCTGGTCTGGTGCTAGCCTGGTCTGCCTGGTTGTTACTGCTGGTGGTCCTGGGCCGGGCTGGTCTGGTGCTAGCCTGGTCAACCTGGTTGTTGCTGCTGGTGGTCCTGGGCCGGGCTGGTCTGGTGCTAGCCTGGTCTACCTGGTTGTTGCTTCTGGTGGTCCTGGGCCGGGCTGGTCTGGTGCTAGCCTGGTCTACCTGGTTGTTGCTGCTGGTGGTCCTGGGCCGGGCTGGTCTGGTGCTAGCCTGGTCTACCTGGTTGTTGCTGCTGGTGGTCCTGGGCCGGGCTGGTCTGGTGCTAGCCTGGTCTACCTGGTTGTTGCTGCTGGTGGTCCTGGGCCGGGCTGGTCTGGTGCTAGCCTGGTCTACCTGGTTGTTGCTGCTGGTGGTCCTGGGCTGGGCTGGTCTGGTGCTAGCCTGGTCTACCTGGTTGTTGCTGCTGGTGGTCCTGGGCCGGGCTGGTCTGGTGCTAGCCTGGTCTGCCTGGTTGTTGCTGCTGGTGGTCCTGGGCCGGGCTGGTCTGGTGCTAGCCTGGTCTGCCTGGTTGTTGCTGCTGGTGGTCCTGGGCCAGGCTGGTCTGGTGCTAGCCTGGTCTACCAGGTTTTTGCTGCTGGTGGTCCTGGACCAGGCTGGTCTGGTGTTAGCCTGGTCTACCAGGTTGTTGCTGCTGGTGGTCTGTTGCCCCCACATATCCATCACAGCCTGGTTGATCTGATACCTGGCCAATGTGTTAAAAATAATTTATGACCAGCCACATGAAGTACAGCCTTGTCACTCACTTGTCGTGTATTAAACAGGTTGTCCTACGGTAACGAGAACGGGCTGGTGATCGTTGATTATATTGCCAAATCGTGCCTCCTGAATATGGGCACGCCTGACCTCTATGGGGCGGCTGACCCATACCAACGTGTTCCCCGTTCGCCGAAGCGAAACGAGTCGTCTAAAGAGGAGGAGCGGTGCAAGTCACCCTCGTCCGATCAGGTACTGTTTATTTATCCTTGAACTGTAAAGATTATTGTAGAGTTAACTAAAAATCTATTAACTAAATGATTAGTATACAGTCAGCTTCCTCATAAAGCTCTTCTGTATAGTGTGATTTTCTGAATGTGATATTCATCCAAAATTTAATAGTTCATCTTACAAAGGCTTTTCTATGTGCTATTCAATTTTAGATGTAATTTTTAAATTGCATATACAAAAAATTGCTCTATATTGCAAAGCCTCATAAGAGAGTTGACTGTATTTAAATATGTATCCATATTGGTTACAAAATGTAATAAATGCTTGTGACGATCCACAGGTTTTTCGGAGATCTGGGCTCGGGCGTGTTGTCTCTGGACGGTTGTTTCAGAGACCCCGGTTCTGTTCTCCAAAAACCCTGTGCAGCATATCCATATTATCTGTCGCATTTCTTTTATTAGTGTTTAGTTATAAGCGACATATTTGTGCTTGCAAGGACAGTATTTTAAGTAGATTAAAAGTCACGGTACCATGACTGGAACAATAAAAATCACGGTACCATGGCTGGAACAATTCACTATTGACCCAACATTTGCAAAAGAACTTTCAGATGACATTTTGGCTCATCCTGGACCACTTGCAACTAGACAATGGTCCACGACTGACCACTGTCATTTTGAAATTTCCTCACTAAATTTTGGATTAACAGCCAAGCATTTGATTTGACCTAACTTTTCATTTTGAAATTAGAATTGATCATATGTATTATACGACAGATAATAGGATGTAGTTAAGTTCCTTGTTTTAGAAGGACCATGTACAGTCAGCTCTTAAATAAAACTATTGCATCTAGAGAGATTTTTTGCAAATGCAAGTGGAAAAAAAAGTCCAAAATTGGATAATGCATTGTATGAAGGCCTGTTTAAGGGCTAATCAATAATGAATGCACTTTTTCAATCATTTATTGAAAAATTGGGCTTGAAAGGTAAATTACAGAATGGGTTAGGGTTCAACCCATGGCAGGTGGGTTCTAAGGCTCGTGGGTTCTAAGACTCGTGGGTTCTAAGGCTCGTGGGTTCTAAGGCTCGTGGGTTCTAAGACTCGTGGGTTCTAAGACTCGTGGGTTCTAAGACTCGTGGGTTCTAAGGCTCGTGGGTTCTAAGACTCGTGGGTTCTAAGACTCGTGGGTTCTAAGACTCGTGGGTTCAAAAACGCACCTGGTTCACAATTTGTTTACAGCCATGTTATTACGATTTCGTGAGTCAGATAGTTTTGTGAGCGAGCTGACTGTTGTTCCTGTATTTTTAATCCAGTTCGGGTAGAAAATTCTAATGTACATGAAACCATTAAATTCATTATATTTATGCCTCATTTCCAGCCTATTAGAATAATTTTAGTTTTTTGCTCCATTGATCACATTCCAAAATGTATATCTGATTTATTCTACAATATTATTTTTGACCATGTGATTACCTGACAAACTAATCTATAGTGTATTTCTGCAACAAACAAATTAATACATTAACACTCAGAATTTTACAGATGAGAAAGAGCATATGAGTCCCTAGGCCTACATGATCAAAATTTTCTAAATAAATTTTTTGGGAGTGGTGGAGTGTTTGTACATGGTGTTTTTGCTGTTAAAAATTTATCTCTATTGTTTGTAACATTTGTATATTGAATTCTTGGTCGTGTAATGTAATTTTTGACTTGTGTTATTCAAGGCTGATTTTTGTAATGGTTAAATATTTTGTAAGAGAAGACTGTCAGTTGTCCTATAAAGCTCCTCTATATATTGCAATTTCTTTTGAAAATACAATTAAAAAAGTCGACTAAAAATTGAATAGCATGTACTGCGGAGGCCTTTCTGTACGCTATTTATTTTTGGATGTACTTTTTCAATCGCATTTACCAAAACTTGGTGTGTGTTTGTATAGAGGAGCTTTATAAGAGGCTGACTGATTCATCTGTTTTATAAAGCTCCTCTGTATTGAGTGCAACATTCAGTGCCATTTTACATATATGTGTACATACTTTAGTCCATGTATGTTGTAAGAGGCGACTAAAATACCGGGAGCAAGGTGCTGGTAACACCTTCTCCTGTATACATTACTAAATTTAAAAAGAAAAACTTTTGTTTTTCCTTTTTGGTCGCCCTGCCTTGGTGGGATACGGCCCGTGTGTTGAAAAACAAAAAAAATGTACGCATCAGTAAATATAGGGAGATGAAGTGACCTTTCATTGGCCTTCTCACCGAGAAAATTAAGAACATTTGTTACTTCTTGGTACAATAAATCCTCAACTTTAAAACATGTTGAGAATCTTCTATATTGTGTATATTATTATTATTATTATATATTATTATATAAAATAATAGTAGGAGGGGTGTTAATGTTGCAGTTTAAAAACTGTATTGTAAAGCACCCTTCTGGCAAGACACTGATGGAGTGAATGATGGTGAAAGTTTTTCTTTTTCGGGCCACCCTGCCTTGGTGGGCCACCCTGCCTTGGTGGGCCACCCTGCCTTGGTGGGCCACCCTGCCTTGGTGGGCCACCCTGCCTTGGTGGGAATCGGCCAGTGTGATAATAAAAAATAAAAAATTATTATGCATAATTCAGGATGTTCCCAATGTGTTTGTAAGTTGAGAAGTTACTGTACTCTTTCTCCTGCTTATCTTCGACACTCTTATGGATGGAATGTGTTTACACTCTCCCAGCCTGTAAGATGTTTATATTCATTTTAAGCTCAAGTTGGGTAAGATCTTTCACCCAGTTGAGTTCGGGTTATGTTTTCCCGCCCTGCTGGGACGTAGATACTCGCCAAAGCTGGTCACACACATTCGCTGGTCCCTCACGAGGTATAAAACCAGCTTCAGTGAGTGACTCTTTGCTGTCTTGAGTCACTAATGTTTCTCTTGATGATGATCTAAATTGTCTCAGAGAGAAGGCCAGTGAAGTGTTTATCTCCCTATACCCACTGATGTCTTCCTTGATTTTATTCATATATGCGATTGAACAAGTTCATCCAAGATTGAACACAACATGGGAAGGCCCTCACTTGTCCTGTTCAATTTTGTACGAACTTATTCAATCACATTTCCCCAAAAAATCATTACATAGAGGAACTTTATAGGAAAACTGGGTTTAAAACACTTTCACGCTTTATCAACAATGTTGAAATTAGCAGTAGACTTTATAATAAAATACTTTATTATTTTACTAGACTATGCAATAAAATACACCATTAATTTACTAAACTATGTAATAAAATCCACTATATTATTTTTACTAGATTATGTAATAAAATCCAATTTCGTTTTACTAGATTACCTGTGTAATTGTAGGTTAGTGTTGTTCTTTGTAGGTGATGTTGTAATTAGCGAGGTTTTCTTGATAGGATTTTAGGAGGAATTGTTTGTGTGATTGAAGGATAAGTTCGGTGATTCAAGTTGTGTGCAGCTGGTGCTCTCAGAGGATGTTCAGTACTCGTGTGGTACTTGTATGGTACTGGAGGTGTGGTACTGGGGAGTCTTGTGATACTTGGATAGTACTGGAAGAAGTGCAGTACCTATTTAGTTCTGGAGACAACACAGTACTTGTACAATACTGGAGATAATGCAGTATTTATGTAGTACTGGAAACAGTACAATACTTGTATGGTATTTAAGCGATTTATTAACTCTTAAAAAAAATTGATAGAAAACACACAGAAAAGAAAAAAAAATTCCCAATTGGGGATTTAGGTTAGAATTCCCTAAGCAGGGAACCAGGTTAAACTCCTACTCTGTTAACCAAACTTGTCGTAGAAGGTGGCTAAAAATGCAGTGAAAACTAGGGTAGTTACCCCTCGTATAATCCATAAATAACGTAGGGGAAACACATCCAATTTTACAACCACAATTTCCTTGGAAATGATCAACATGTTCAGAAATCTGGAAATATATACACAGTACATCCATATATATGATTTATTTGGTATATAGATGGTCAGTTAATATGAAATATATTCATGGTATTCCCAGGTATATAATCATTTAGGAATATATAGGAAATATACTTGTAGATTTTACATGATCGTTATTTTTGTGAATTGTGGCGGCTGTTGCTTTTGTTGAGAAAATTGAAATGTACATTTGGAAGATGGTTCAAATAGACACCAGGTGGCATTGTCAGAGTAGGCTTGTCTACAGGTGTCTAAATGGGACACCTGTGGATATGCTTACTCCATACATGAATGCACACATGCACATGTTCACACGCACATATGTACACACACCCACACCAGTCTGTTAACACCCAGGTACCTACTTACTGCTAGGTGAACATAAACAGTAGGTGTCTTAAGGAAACACGACTAATGTTCCTACCTATACTGGAGATCGAACCACAGACCTCAGCGTGTGAGGCAGGTGTGCTACCAACCCAACCATGGGACATACCAAGATTCCCAGGCTTGCATAGGTCGCTCACTCAGTGTCAGTATTAGCAAGGGACCAGAGTTAGAGCCCTGACTACAGCAAGATACATGGCACATTTTTGGATCACTGATTTGGGAACACAAGAGGGCCCTGTTTTTGTGGCTGTTTGGTTCCCGTTCCCCAGCAATGAGCTAAAATCGCCAGCGAGTGGAAGAGAGTTTTCTTCATTATTAATGCATCTAAAAAGCTGATAATGTATCAACACTATCATATATTAAGTACTCAATACAGCTAGGCATAAAAAATAAAATACACAATACAGCCTCTCTTCGCTTAACAATGTATTCGTTTATCAACGACTCGGACTTACAACTGGCTGGCTCTCTGACCAGTATGCATACCTAAATGTATATTAGAGCTGATTTCCTCTATTCTGTTTATTACAATATACAGTACACTACTGTATAAACATTTAAAAATATACCAGAAATTTTATAAATGGTGCAAAGGTGTCATTAAAACAATATCAAAGATGGTTAACACAAACTCACTACCATTATACATGTAGTATGATCCTCACTTAGAGATGAATTCATTTACCGATGTGGTCTTAGAAAGGGAACTCCGTTGTTGAGTGAGGAGAGGCTGTACATACAATACACATTAAATGCATTACACAGTACATACAATACAGTGGACCCCCGGTTTACAACCAGCTCCCAATGCGACCAATTATGTAAGTGCGTTTGTACGTGTATGTTTGGGGGTCTGAAATGGACTAATCTAATTCACAATATTCCTTATGGGAATAAATTCGGTCAGTACTGGCACCTGAACATACTTCTGGAATGAAATAATATCGTAAACCGGGGGTCCACTGTACTTAACTTAAAATATGGCGCCAGTTGCCCTTCCCTTGCACAACTGTTGTGCAAAAATGGTGGATAAGCAGAAAAGCATCAAACATAATGAACAATGGCACAATTGAAAGCTTACAAAATAATGGAAGGCTGAAAAGAGGGAGCTGAAGTACGTAAGACTCTCCTGTGCTTCCTTCACCATCATTGTAGTGGATGAGTTGTGTACGAAAATCCTTTTAAATTAATGATTTAGAATACCAACAAGTGGCTTTTTCAGTCCAGTGCAGAGAAAGGTGGAAGAGGTGGAGGAGTTTGAGGTAATCAATCCCTCAGTCTGGAGTCAATGTGTTTAGTCCAAGATTAATGGAAGAATAGTCATTATACCATGACTGGAACAACACAGAAATAATCCCCACACAGACTGAAACTTAGGATGATGTTTCAGTCCCAATTATACCATGAACGAGCCATACAATGTTTTCTCTGGCATAAAAATATTTCCCTCACAATGACGGCTTGATTTTTGGACTTAAATCATAATCACGAGCTGGTGGCACTGTAAGGAGGCGGACGGTGTAGCGCTTCCCGTCCTCGGTGACATAAAATGTTTGGAACAATCTCCACTTTGTGGGCTGTGGCATTGTCATGAAGAATGATGACATGCACAGTCAGTAGAACATTCACAGTCACCTTCACACTAGATAGAACATTCACAGTCACCTTCACACTAGATAGAACATTCACAGTCACCTTCACACTAGATAGAACATTCACAGCCACCTTCACACTAGATAGAACATTCACAGCCACCTTCACACTAGATAGAACATTCACAGTCACCTTCACACTAGATAGAACATTCACAGTCACCTTCACACTAGATAGAACATTCACAGTCACCTTCACACTAGATAGAACATTCACAGTCACCTTCACACTAGATAGAACATTCACAGCCACCTTCACACTAGATAGAACATTGCCTTTCCATTGCAGTGCAGAATGGCAAAGGTTAACCACCACAAAGCCGATGGTATTCGCTGTCTTCCCCAACAACAACGGGTAACAGATAACTTGGTAGATCACGCTGAGTCATTCAGTCGCTTGCACGATATCATACCTGTGTTCCTTGTAGTGTGCCAACGTTTTCACAATTAAAGAAAATGACGCAAATAAAAAGTGTGATTTTTCTCATGTACAGTGGTACCCCAGGTTTCATACATAATTCGTTCCAGAAGGCTGTTCATGTGCCCTTACCGAACGAATTTGTTCCCATAAGGAATAATTTAAATTAGATTAGTCTGTTTCAGACCCCCAAAAATGCACTTACAAAAATACACTTACATAATTGTTCGAGTTGGGAGGTGTATGAAACTCAGGGTACCACTGTGTTCCTGCTGGACACTCATGCGTATGCCCCAACATGATGATGCCATCTGGTGTTTATCTTACCAGTTTTTAAATGTATATATAATTGTTTTAAGAGCTTTTCAATGTATATTTCAGTCTTTTGTAATTGTAGTAACAACAATAATAATAATAATAATTTTTAATTTTTCTACGATATAAAGGTAATGCAATTTACCGGTAACAAAATATTATTAGGCATTTAAGTAGTTTTCTCGGTAAAAGAGAGTAGTTGCTGTGACTTATGGCACCACCCTCGGAAAGAGAGAAAGAGCGCTGTAGTTAAGAAAAGTGCCGTCGGTGTTTTGATCTGGTCGTTGCGGCTTTTGATACCTGGGTCCCTTCCAGGGAGGGGGGAAGGGAGGTGGGGTGCCTTGATGCTGGTGAAGGGCTCTTGATTTGAGGAACTGGAAGTGCCCCTCTCCTTGATTGTAACCTTGTAACCTCTTATGCCATAAATGTTGTATAGCCCCTGCTGGTTTAGAGCGTTCCCGCGAATATACAAGTGTTCCTCGACTTACGGTTCGGTACATTCCAACAAACCCGTTGTAAGTTGAATATATCGTAAGTCAAATATGAATATGATAATTCTTACTGTCTACTCTTTATTGACACATCGAACAGTATATTCTAATTAATTCTCATTATTACAAAATTCAGGTAATCAGAAATTTTATACAGTGGTATCCCGAGTTTCGTACAGCTCCTAACACAACCAATTATGTAAGTGTATTTATGTAAGTGTTTTTGTAAGTGTATTTTTGAGGGTCTGAAATTGACTAATCTAATTTAAATTATTCCTTATGGGAACAAATTTGCTCAGTAACGGCACTCGAACAGCCTCCTGGAAGGAATTAAGTTCGTAACTCGAGGTACCACTGTAATTACAGTGGAACCTCAAATATCGAACTTTCTTCGGTCCAGAAGGTTGTTCGAGTGCCTTTACCGAATGAATTTATTCCCATCAGGAATAATGTAAATTAGATTAGTCCATTTCAGACCCTCAAAAATGCACTTATAAAAGCACTTACAAAAATACACTTACATAATTGGTTGAGTTGGGAGCAGTTCGATTTTTGAGGTTCCACTGTATAAGATTTACAATAATGAGGTTGCAAAAACAAATAACAGTATTACAATGATTGTAATTTAGTAATGGGTATGTTTTTATCTCGGCTCTGAATAAATTTACAGTACTGTACAGTACAGAATGTGCATCACTATGGCACCATTGTGAAGTTGAAATATCACTAGTCGAACCATCATAAAGTGAGGAGCGCCTGTAATCAGCGCCACATAGATGCTAGTAAATAATCTGGTAAATTAGATATTAAATTTAGGACTTGCTGTACTCCCGATAAACGTAGGGTTTGTATCGAAGATCAGGCTTCTTCTTTTATCAGTGGTGGTGCCAAAGGGGCTTAAGGGGCTTCAGCCCCCCAAAATTCCCTCAACCCCCTGGATACAAATAATAATAATAATAATGCTCAGATTGTCCCCTAGCCCGACCCCTTCTCCCCTCCTCCTAACTGGATTGCCAACCCTAAGCGCCTCTGGTATTGAAATTCTGGTGTCGTCCCTGTACTCTCTGCCATACTCTTGGACTTGTTACACACACTCTTAATGCTTGTCGTTGGTATTGTAGATCAGGCTTGTACTCTGTAATGGGAGCTTGTGCTGTACAGCAGGTGTTTAGAGCAGGTGTTTAGAGCAGGTGTTTAGAACAGGTGTTGGAAAGTTAGTACGAGGATTTTTAAAACTCCAGCCCAGTGTGTATGCCCCTGGGCCAGTTGGCTACACTAAGATCCATCCAACTAAGTGTATCACTGAGCCAGTTGGCTACACAAAGATTCATCCAACTAAGTGTATCACTGAGCCAGCTGGCTACAATAAGATTTGTCCAGCTAGGTATATAGAAATGTACCTTGTTGGATGAATTTTATTGTAGCCAGCTGGACCAGTGGCTTACATACTGACCTGGGGTTTTACGAATCACTCACCATGGGTTTAAACCCCACCCATTCCATGGTTTGTTTCCTAATGTGCTTTTCCCATGCTTATTGCTTATAATGTTGCTTTCAGCAGTAATTACATTAGTTTGCCGACTCTCTCCCCAAGGATAACAAAGATACGGGAGGCTCCACATTTTATCTTCGACATGACCAAAGCGAAATAGATGGATTGATTGGGAAAGAGAGCAAGGAAGACCCAAGGAAATTGGTGAACCGCAGTGATAGCAAAGGTGATTCCGAGGTCCGTAAGAAACTGCCAAGGAAGGACAGTAAGGAGATAGAGAAAATGAAGGACGAGAAGAGGAATTCTGATGGGAAATACGGATCTGAGAATAAGAAAGAAATATTGAAAATTCTTGGAAGAAAAGAAAGCAAAGGGAAGGATAAGGAAGACAAAGATAAAGTAAAAGAGAGTGAAAAGGAGGATGATAATGTTGATGATTTTCTTCTAGTGAAGAAACCCTCGGTAAGTGAGGGAAGTAATGGGGCAGAGGAACTCTCTGAACATGAAGAAGAAAAGGCCGACAATGGTTGCGAATTGAGAGTTGATCAGTCAAAATCGAGATCAGTGACACCCGAGCATGCCCCAAAACTTGAGATGGGAGATGAGAAGCCCAACAGTCATGATTCGAAGAGACATTCCCGATTTCGACTGAAAGAACAGCTGACCAAACTCGATGCCAGATTTAGGAAAGCATTTTCTTCTGAGCAGAACTCCATAGAACACAGTTCCGAGTGCTACGTGGACGAAATTACTGTTATTGGTCCAGATGTAGACTTGAAACAAATAGAATATACACTTGAACACAAAGCTGGTGATGATATTGAGGTTGCAGAGGCTGTAGAGGTGAGAGAAGATTTTGAATCTACACGTGAGAATGTAGAGAGGGATGGCAGCCATGACACAAAGTCCGGAGATCTTTCCACAAGTCCTAAAATAAGTCCTAGAGTAACTCCGAAATGTAGCCCAAGACCAACCCCCAAGACCACTCCAAGGCCAAGCCCCATTGATGAATCTAAAATTATCGAAAAAGATCTTGCGAAGGAGCCACACACTAGGGAAGGTGCTGACCGCAAATCTCTAGCACTCTTTGACAAGGACGGCAACCCGGTTCCTCCGCCAAGACGCAAAATGCGCCTAGCTGAAGCTAAGCAAAAGAGCAGCAAAAGTTCATTCAGCAGCTGCGACCTCGGCAATATACCGAACATCCCGCCGTCGCACAGTGCTTCTCACTTCCATGGGGGAAATACTGCATTTGTTTCAGCCTCCCCAGTAGAGCAGGGCGGAGGCACCTCCGACCACCGCAAGTATTTTCAAAAGTGCCAGGGCTCGGAGACGCCACCCGTACAGACTCCCAGCCATCCCAGCGCTACACCGCCTCCAGCAACAACCACCGTAACTAGTCCAAACAGCAAAGGAGCGTTCAAGACCTTTGTCAGTCACATCACCAAGAGAGGCTCATCACACGCACTCCAGGGTACGTTCTTTTGTTCTCCTCCTGGTGACACTAGGATGCTCTTACTACTTTGATATTGTAAGTCTTTTTGACTACATTACAAACTAACAAAGTGAAATCTGGATCGGACTTACAACATTGAATATAAAAAATTGAATTTGATCTCGTTTAATAGTCAGCTCTCTTAAGAAGCTTTTCGAGTGCATTTTTTTGTAATTACAATTAGAGAAAAGCTCATCCAAAATTGAACATCATGTACTATGGAGGCCTTTTCATGTGTTCTACAATTTTGAATGTGCTTTTTCAAGTGCATTTGCAAAAATCTCACTATATAGAAAAGCTTTATAAGATAGCCGACTGCATTAATATCTAGTTCTGTGAACTCGAGTTCGAACAAACAACTGTCAGTGAATGGATGGAAGGATAGACGGGGCGCTCGAACCCCGATACACAAACCGACAGTCCAACACTAGTGATTCGGCTACCTGGGCACTAGAGCATTGGATTGTCAATTTGTGGACTGCAGTTCAAGTGCCCCGTCCATCCTTCAGTTTATTCATCTAGTTCTCTGTGTAAATAACTCAAATTACACCATACCCCCGGCCGGGATTGAACCCGCGGTCATAGTCTCAAAACTCCAGCCCGTCGCGTTAGCCACTAGACCAGCTAGCCACAATAAGATTCATCCAACTAGGTATATTTCTACACCATAGGAAAGTTAGCACAGGCACCTCTGTGACCACAAATGCAAGTTTTTACAGACGAATCTCCAGCTAGCGTGGCCGTGACGAACTCTAGCTCAAGTCCCTTCACTGCCGTCAACATGACTCAAGAAATCGTAATGACGGCAGTGAAGGGACTTGAGCTAGAGTTCGTCACGGCCACGCTAGCTGGAGATTCGTCTGTAAAAACTTGCATTTGTGGTCACAGAGGTGCCTGTGCTAACTTTCCTATGGTGTAGAAATATACCTAGTTGGATGAATCTTATTGTGGCTAGCTGGTCTAGTGGCTAACGTGACGGGCTGGAGTTTTGAGACTCTATGACCGCGGGTTCAATCCCGGCCGGGGGTATGGTTTATTTGCAATCGTGTCATTACGATTTCTTGAGTCACTCAAATTACAGTTCTAGCAGATGTAATTCAAGGGATCCAGTGGGTAGTATCTAAACTTCTAGTAAGTAGTGAGAGATCCAGTGTATGTAAAAGTATCTTGATAAATTAGACACATGTGCAACTCTTGGGTATCTTTATTGAGGAAACGTTTCACCACACAGTGGCTTCATCAGTCCATACAAAGGAGAATCTTGAAGAACAGGAGGAGAATGAGGTAATCAGTCCCTCAACCTTGAGTCATGTGGTCAGTCCATCAATCTTGAATAGAATGGCTAAACGTTTCCTCAATAAAGATACCCAAGAGTTGCACATGTGTCTAATTTATCAACATGTCGGTTCTCTGAACCATTCATCTAAAAGTATCTTGTGTAAACTCTGAGTGAATATGATAATGGTATACAATATGATAATGGTATACACTATTGACAGGTTAATAAGAAAGATGTGTGCAACAGTTACATATTCTGAAATATTTCTCTTGCACAGGAGGTTTCTTCAGTCGAGTACAGAGGAGACAGCAGGAGCAGTAGAGATGTAAAGATGATGTCATAAGTCCCTCACCCTTGAAAATGTAGTTTTGAGGTGGTCAGACCTTCAGCCTGGAGAAGAGTTCTGCTCCATAGTCTGGAGTAGTTGTTCCAGGCTGAGGGATTAACAATCTCAAAACTGTCTTCAAGGGTGGTGGACTGATTACATAGTCTTCACATGTCTACTACTCTTGCTGCCTCCTCCGTATTCAACTGAAGAAACCTACTGTATACGCGAAATGTTTGGGAATAGAGATTCCTGTGTCACACACGTCTTGAGAATCTCGAGGTTGAGTTGTGAAGCGATGAATCGCCTAACAGTAGTATGGCTCAGCTGTTTAGAGATACCACCCTGTTTTTTATTACCGGTTTTGTGGATAAACATTTTCCGTCAAGAGATGGTTTGTGAATATAAATGTTTATTCCTAACGAGTTTTCTTGGTTTGGTGTAAAATGTTGAAATTTCAGTTCTTTAATAAGTCAATATAACTGTCAGTATTTCAGTCAATTTCAGTCAGCGCTTTTATGAAGTTTCTCTATATACTAAAGTTGTTTTAAATGTGATCAAATGAGTATATCCAAAAATGAACAACGTGTTCAGTTTTGGAATTGCATCTGCGAAAAAATCCAAATGTATATAATAACTTCCTAAGAGAGCTAACTGTACGACTTTGTAAATTGTCAGTTTTTTCTGTAAATCAGACTTGCTGCTTGTCATATGTTGATTATATTTATAATGCCAGGAGCAAAGTGCTAGTAACATGTGTGTATATTACTAAATGTAAAAAGAGGAAAACTTTTTAGCTTTCTTCTTTTTTGGGTCACCCTGCCTCGGTGGGAGACGGCCAGTACGTTGAAAAAAAGCAAAATCAAAATTTACGAAGCAATCTTTCGAGTGTCTAAGTCGTCTCAAAGTCAACAGTTAGGGTGTTCTAGAACTTTAAATGAGCTCATGCTAGCCAAGACCTCATCTAGCCTGAGTGGTTGATATGTCGAGTGATGCCAAGTAACAGCTGCCATCTTGCTCTGACCAATCAGCACGTGTTCTCTGGGACCAAAAATTCACATTTTCTCGAATGCGACCTCCATTACACAGGGGGGGGTAAACCCCTATGGAAAGGGGGGAGTGCGGAGAGTGGAAAAAAACCTGATGCAATATCTCTCATCTATTTTTTTTAATGGAACTTTGATGGGTTCTTTTGTAAGTTGTGGGAAGCTTGCTTTTGTTCCTCATTTATTTATTAATAATGGCATGCATGTTGTAAATAGCGAGCATCTGCATTCAGCTCTCATTGTTGATGTGTACTGACCCATTTATAGTTAAGTGAATATTATGTGGATAATAGCACTCTTCACAATAACTGTTAGTGTTTGGGTAAATATTATATGGATGTAAAGTAACCACCAGGGGAGTTGAATGATAGCTCTGGGTCTATTGTGTCACAACATATCAGGAGCTTGTAATGTTGCAGAAATAGGGATGCAGGCAGATTCATTCAGGGGAGCAACTCTCTCTCCAGAATGAGAGAGTAGTTTCCATGAATACATCTGCCTGAACTTGCTACTATTTTTGCAATATTGCAAACTCCTGATGTGTTGATTGCGAGACAAAAGTCTTATAGCTATCATTCAGTTCCCTCCTGTGGTTACTTTGTTTCTTTTATCGCTCGTTCATGATTATTGCATTGTGTGGATAATAGTACTTTCCACGATATCATTTTGTATTTCAGTAAATATTGTATAGTTACAGTGGCTGCACTCTGAAGGATGTTGTAGTTCGGAGGGACGTCTAAACTGTGACGTCAACACACTTCTGGCAAGACAGCAATTGCCTGAAAAACAGTGACTGCGTTTCTTCTTTTTGGGGTCATCCTTCCTTAATGGAGGACTGTCATTGTGCTTCAGAATAATCACACTTGCCACAACATCCATTAGAGTCGTTTCTCGCAGTACCAATCTCATTGATTTCGAAGATTTAAAAAATAATAATTTTTAAAGCGGGGTTTTTTGAGTATATAACAGTTATTGAAGTAGGCCAAAAAAAAAAAAATGTAAATAATGGTGGTTTTGATAACTTAATTTGATGTAAATTCTGTATTTGTTGCCATAAGTTACAGTGTATTAGCTGATGAGTTGATCAGTTGGAAAATGATATCAAGATATGGACTGTATAGTAGATGTTTACTGTAATGTTTATTATAGGCATTTCATTGTAGATGCTTTTATAGAAAGCTCAGTCCTGAAGGACATGTGGAGTAACAGGTCAGTCCTGAAGGACATGTGGAGTAACAGGTCAGTCCTGAAGGACATGTGGAGTAACAGGTCAGTCCTGAAGGACATGTGGAGTAACAGGTCAGTCCTGAAGGACATGTGGAGTAACAGGTCAGTCCTGAAGGACATGTGGAGTAACAGGTCAGTCCTGAAGGACATGTGGAGTAACAGGTCAGTCCTGAAGGACATGTGGAGTAACAGGTCAGTCCTGAAGGACATGTGGAGTAACAGGTCAGTCCTGAAGGACATGTGGAGTAACAGGTCAGTCCTAAAGGACATGTGGAGTAACAGGCGAGTCCTGAAGGACATGTGGAGTAACAGGCGAGTCCTGAAGGACATGTGGAGTAACAGGCGAGTCCTGAAGGACATGTGGAGTAACAGGTCAGTCCTGAAGGACATGTGGAGTAACAGGTCAGTCCTGAAGGACATGTGGAGTAACAGGTCAGTCCTGAAGGACATGTGGAGTAACAGGTGAGTCCTGAAGGACATGTGGAGTAACAGGTGAGTCCTGAAGGACATGTGGAGTAACAGGTTAGTCCTGAAGGACATAGCTACATACACACATCAGCAGTTAGGACTGACATCATCATCTGAACTTAGAACAAGCTGTAACATGACTTAAAAATGTTTTACTAACATTCAAGTTGGATTGAGGTAGAGTCTGTACCATTATGCCTTTACCTTTGATATACCTTTGATGAGTTTCAAGAATTTTTGTATACCCCTGGGGCCTGGCCACAGGGTAGGCTTGTCAGGTGCCTGCCTAGTCTACCAGACATAAAACCTCACAGATTTTAAAACCTCAAAGATTTTAAAACCTCACAGATTTTAAAACCTCACAGATTTTAAAACCTCAAAGATTTTAAAACCTCACAGATTTTAAAACCTCAAAGATTTTAAAACCTCACAGATTTTAAAACCTCACAGATTTTAAAACCTCACAGATTTTAAAACCTCACAGATTTTACATCTGGTGTTTGGAAAAAGTTCGTCTGGCGCCTGCCTAGTCTGCCAGACATTAAAACTCGCTAATTTTAGATCTGGTTTTCGGTACACCATGAGAATTTTTTTCACCCGCCTTTAGACTAGCATACTTACCTTCAATATAGTC